GGATAAAGAAAGGCAAGGTGGGAACACAGCATGGACCATACCAAATTGTGACTGGTACTCGGCCTCACGGGGTTTGTGCTTAAATAAGCTGGCAGAACAGGATGAGTCAGCAGCTAGGATGACCAGACGCTTCAAGGTTGCTGCTTTCTTTCCGAGGCAAGAAGTGACATTCTGAAGAGTGTCTGCAAGCTGTCTGGAGGACACTGACAAGCCCCTGGGGCCGCCTAATATCCGGTATCCTAAGTCACTCCCTGATGGTTAAGGTTCCTACTTCAAAAGAAAGGACCTGAGCTTCTAAACCCGGCCTCCTAAAACAATTCATCTTTGGCACAGAATGTTATTAATAGATCCCAAGTGGGATATCACCTGTTTCTGACCTTTCTAGACAGGTCAATGATCTCTCTTCAGTAGGGGTAAGCTGGAGGCTTTTTCAGGCTTGGCTGGCCATATCTGCATATGAAAGGCCAGGCTAGAGGTTAAGCCTGTAGCAGAGACAATGGATGACCTAGTTCCTTAGGCTTAGCTTTGTCTTTCTGCCCCTCCCTCAAATTTTGCCCCTTCCCACTCATCCACACGACTGAGCAGAATTGACCTATATGAAGATGACTCCTAGATTTATTCTCAGCCCTAGTCTTCTGAGAGCCTCTCACAGCACCAACTATCAGATATTTCAAATCAGATGTTCCATAGGCATCTCAAACTTGACATATTCAAAGCAGAACTTTCCTCCCAAACCCACCTTTCTTCAGTCTTTCCCTGTTTCTGCGGAGAGTCCGCCATCCCTCTGGTCACTCAGGTTTGTTTCCTTGTTGTCACTCTTGACCACTTAACCTCACTGCCCCTACACACCTAATTTGCTGCCAAACCTTGTTATTTTTACCTCCATGTCTTTCACATCTGTCCCCTTTCAGCCACTCACAGAGCTGACATCCTAGTTTAGGCCAAGCAGCCTTCACAGGGCAGGCAAGCCAGACCAGCTGAATCAGCCCAAGAGGGAGCCAGGAGGGCAGCATGTGCCAGATAATTCAAACCACCACACCACCTCCTTGGCCACCATCTTTCCTCAGACCCTAATGGAGATAAGCCCAAAAGCCTTGGGAATAGAAATGTTTCTAGCATGCTGCCCATACTCCTGGGGAATTGCAGCCCAGGAACTGCTCCTACAGATGCTACAGCTATATAAAAGAAGGTTTTTGCCAGCAAAGTCTTTGGCCCTGTCAAAGGCTTCAACATCAAAAACTGATACGATTTTGTTGGTGGAAGGGACATTATAGAATAGGCCTTGCCATCCACCTTGCTGCTGCACCTTAAGGATCATGGGAATTTTCCATGAGAAGACGGACTGTCCTAACTTTTCAATTTGTGTCCCCAGTACTTACAGTGCTTTGCCATAGTAAGTGCTTAATAAATATTTATCCATTCATTCATTCATCACCTCTTGCCTGAGCTGGTGCAATAACCTCCTAATTGGTCTTGTGAGAGATGGCCTAAAGTGCAGTTCCCTCAGGCTTAAACCCTGAGTTGAGTTTCACCTTTCTCAAAAATCCGTGTCAGTGCAAGCAGTTCCTGGTCGCTCCTGCTTCCTGGTACATGCATACATCTAGTTCCCAAATATGGGTATGTTTGCTTCTATTGGGTATTAGTTGCCGAGTTTAGATTGTAAGCCTTAGTACCCAGCCAATGGGGGAAAGAGGTAAGAGAGTGGGAGGGGGCATGCGTTAGGGCTATAAAACTTTGCTTCTCAAAGCCAGCGGGCACACTCCCTGGCTCCCACTGCTTGGGCAACAAGAGCTGTGCCCTTTCTCATGAGAAAGAATAAAGACCTTTTCTGATCTCTGATTCAGACTCCAAACTCTTGATTTCAGTGGTCACTGTCCCACACAGTTTCTACCTCTAGACTCACCCTAATCCAATTCATTTTCCATAAAGTTGCCAAAGTGATTTCCCCCCTTAAAGTACAGGCCTCTACTCAATAAACTCTATTGGCTCCTTTACTGAATAGGGATCAAATTTAAATTCCTCTGGCATTTAAAGCCTTTCACAACCTGGCCCCGAACTACCTTTCTAGTATTAGTACATGTTATTCTCATTGAGACAAACAATGGCGCAACAAAAATGTCCTCCTTACTGCTGCTCATAGACAGTATTTCACCTCCGTGACTGCACTGGCTCTCCCTTAAGCCTGGTAGGGACTCTTCCCTTACCAGCTGGTGTCTGTTAGAATCTATTGCTTCCTTTAAGGATTAGCCAAAGGACCTCTTTCTACATCTTGCCTTCCCTGAGTCGCCAGCTGCTTGTGCCTTAACCTCTCCTCCAAATTATCTTGTATTTCTTTTGTATGTGTTTTGCCCATATAAAGGGCGAGGTTACAAGTTCCTTGAAAGCAGTTTTTCTTTTGTGAAGAGGCCCAGGAATAACAGCACCCTCCCTAATTGTCCCACTCCTGGCCACTGGCCCTGTTTCTAGCCATCATCAAAAAAGCAGCGCTTGCAGAGAAGAGGCCTGCAATCCCCACCAGGTGCTACCTACAAGTCAGCCTAGATGAGGCAGCCAGGCATCTGACAGAAAGACAGGGAACAGCATCGTCCAAGCGGGCCAAATCATTTCCTATTTCCCACACCCCATTCCAACATCTGTCAATTTCCTTTCTAGAAGGGTCAGCTTTGTCAATCTGATCAGTGTGAGATGGACCGTCAGAGTTGCTTTAATTTAAATTTCTCTAATTAGTAGTGAAAAATCTTGCCATTCATGACATTTCTCAAACCTGATCCCTTCTCTACATACATGAAGATACCATCTTACTTCAAGCCTTCATCACCTCTGGCAAAGATTATTGCAACAACTTCCTAATTGGTCTGACTCCAGTCTCTTCCAACTCTGCATGGTCCACACTACACATTGCTGCTGAAATATTTATCCTTCAGAGTAAATCTTACCACGTGACTCGCCTGCTCAGTCAACTCTTGTGGCTACCTCTGGACTCTAGGACAAAATGTCAACTTTTTTGCTTTTTGTTTCTGTAGCCCTGCACAATCTGGCCACAACCTATCTTTCCAGCCTTCCTGCCCATCTCTTTGTCTTTGCTCTGACTCTTCCACTTGCCTGAAATGCAGTTCTTCCATATCTAGCCTTCATAGTCTTACTTTTCCTTAAAAAGGAAACTCAAGCCGTATCTTTTGCCTAATCCACACACTCCCTCTCCAAACCCCCACACCCAAATGCTAGTGCCCTCCCTCTAAAATTAACTTGTATTTAGCTATTTTGCATTTATTTAATTTATATTTCTGTTATGTATGCAGAGTGTCTCAAAAGTTGTGGCTTAAAGCTACACTATTATTTCGGAGGCAACCTGCATTTCTACATGTACATCTCTCTCCCACTACAATGCTAGTTTTGAGAGCAGGGGTCATTTCATTCTTTGTATCTGTATCCCCAAGTGCTTAGAACAGCCTGGCATAAAGTAGGTAATTAACAAATACTTGATTGACTGATGGATTGGTGGTTGGTATTATCTGATCAGGACAGGGTACAATGGTACTATCAGCTCCTTATTCTTGGAGCTTATGCTTAAATTAGTTCAGTCCAAGAATACATTAGCTTTTTTTGGCTGTCACATTACTGTGGTCTCACATTGAACTTGTATTCTATTAAAACACCCAGCTCTTTTTCAGATGAAATGCTGCCTGGCTCACACTTCCTTCATCTTGTGTTCATGAATGCATGTTTAAGGCTTTAAATGTGTCCCTATTATATTTCTTGTTATGAGATTTGGCCCAGTGTTCTGTCAAGCCTGTCAAGATCTTTCTGAATCTTGACTCTGCCATCCAGAATGTTAACTAGCCCTCCCAACTTTGTGTCATCTATACATTTGATAAGGATAAAATCCATTCCTTTATCCAAGTCATTGATAAAAAATGACCAACAATGCAGGGCTAAGTCCAGATACCTGGAGAGCACTCATATTGTGCAGTCAAATTCACCTCCTCATTGTTAGGATCTCTAATTCATATTTGTAGATTCATAAGTAGACATTTGAAACAATGGGGCCATAAGCTTGTTTGCTTTCTTGGAATTTGTCTCTTGTAAACTTTTATCCTACTTGGACATCTATTCTTCTTCCATTGTAGCTATACTTTATGGCATATGATTTGGTGGATGTACTTAAGTCAGTGTCTCCACCACCTCCTACACAATTTAAAGGCCTTTTGATTAGATTTGCAAGACTCCAAGTCCAAGAGTCTGTCATTTCTTTATTTTACACGACGGTCCAGAAATCCCATTCTCAAGTTCCAATTGTTCTTTCTTCTTCTTCTTCTTCTTCTTCTTCTTCTTCTTCTTCTTCTTCTTCTTCTTCTTCTTCTTCTTCTTCCTCCTCCTCCTTCTCGTCCTCCTTCTTCTCCTCCGTCTTGTTCTTCTTTTTCTTCTTCTCCTCCATCTTTTCCTTTTTCTCTGCCTCCTCTATTGCCTCCTCCTCCTCCTCCTTCTCCTGTTTTTTCCAATTAAAAAATTTTTATTTTCAATTCCAAATTCTCTACCTTCTTCCAGCCCCTCCCCCTGCTCATTGAGAAAGCAAGAAATACTATGTCCATTATACACATTAAGTCATGCAAAACATATTTCTACATTAGTTATTTTTTTAAATGACAGAAAAATAAAGAAAGGAAAAATATGTTTTAAACTGTACTCTGATTCTATCATTTCTCTGTCTGGAGGTAGAGAGCATTTTACATCATGAGCCCTTTGGAGTTGTGTGTGGATAATTATACTGATCAGAGTGACTAAGTTTTTCATAGCTGATTGTCTTTACAATATTGTTGGTGCTACATAGATTGTTCTTCTGGTTCTGCTCACTTCCCTTTGCATCAGTTCATATGTCTTCCCAGGTTTTTCTGAAAGCATTTATTATCCCCTTCATTCACCATCCCCTACATTATTTCTTATAAGACAACAGTATTTCATCACATTCATCTACTACATACCATGACTTTTTCAGCCATTCCCCAACTGATGAACATTTCCTCAGTTTCCAACTCTTTGCCACTACAAACAGAGCAAACAGAGCTACTATAAATATTTTTGTATATATGAGTCCTTTTCCTTTTTCTTGCATCTCCTTGGTGTGTAGATCTAGTGGAGGTATTACTGTGTCAAAGGGTATACATAGTCTAATAACTCTTTGGGCATAGTTCCTAATTATTCTCCAGGATGACTGGACTAGTTCATGGCTCCATCAGGTGCCATATTTTTAACCAGCTGTTCATTTTCCAAATTTGCTTTGGTGAAGCATTCACATTAATACCATCCAAGCCTTTAAAATCTTCAGTTTTCTGCACAAGACCTCCTAAACTTTAATGATGCTATCTAGATTCCTTCTGATAGTATGGTTTATACTTACACGAATTACCATCGCTGTGTATTAGTCATACATTTTTTACAAGTCCTGGGAAGTTCTTTGTCATGTCTTGGAAATGTGCCCCCAATAAGACAAGAAGCTTATTATTGTTATTGGACTGACAAGTTGCTGGTTCATTAGCTCTCAATAAGGCCTCACCAACCACCACCCCTCTCCTCTTCTCCTTCTCACACTTACTGAATGTTCTTCTACATGACAGCATCTGAGAGTCTACTTGATTATTCACTGGAGAACAAGTAGCTGCTTCCTCAGCAGAATATCCAGATCTCTCTGCTTCAGAAAAAGATTTTTTTTTTATCTTTCAGTGTTTTGTGGTCCTTTTTCTTCCCTTTTTTTTTGATGTGATATTCTCCCCATCCCCCTACCTCCTGACATAGGGCAGGAAGTGGACTTTAAAAGATAATTAACAGGGCAGCTAGGTGGTACAGTAGATAGAGCATTAGCCCTGGAATCAGGAGGACCTGAGTTCAAATCCAGGCTCAGACACATAACACTTAATAGCTGTGTGACTCTGGGCAAGTCACTTAACCCCTATTAACTCACCAAAAAAAAAAAAAGATAATTAGGAATGCAACAAATGAAGAGTAGTTAGTAGGAGACAGCAACATGGAGACCACCAGAGCAAAGGCAAGGAGATAGAAAATGTATGATGTGTATGGTGAAGTGGGAGATGAGGGAGAAAAAAAATAGTCTAGTTTGTCTGAAGTGCAGAGTATATAGAGGAGAATAATATAAGATAAAGCTACAAAGAGAATTGGTGGAATCAGACTGAAGAGCCTTGAATGAAAGACAAAAGGGGTTTAACTTTATTTGGTAGGCAGTTTGGAGTAACTGAGCTGAAACGTAATATAACCAAATCTAGGCCAGAAAAAATATTCTAGAGATGATGTGAAGGATGAACTGAAGAGGAGGGAAAAAAAAATGAAGGTGGGGAAACATGCCAGAAGACTATTACAACAACTTTGAAAGTCTTAAGAACTTTGAAAGTCTTAAGAACTATGATCAATAAAGTGACTGACCACTATTCTTGAGTACCTATAAGGAATTATGCTACTCACCTTTTAAATAGAGTTGATTGACTCAAGATGAAGAATGACACATACTTTTTTGACATAGCCAGTGGGCAGATCTTGCTTTAACTATGCACATTTGTTATAAGTATTTGGTTTTCCTTTTTTTCTCTTTTTTAATTTGGAGGTCAGATGGGAAAAAGAAAAAAAAATCATTAATTTAAAGGAAAAGTTTTAAAAATCACATATATGTGTGTGTGTGTGTGTGTGTGTGTGTGTGTGTAGGGTGAAGCTGCTATGTGGCCCAGTGAATAGAGTACCAGTCCTGGAGTCAGGAACACCTGAGTTCAAATCCAGCCTCAGACATGTGGTAGCTGTGTGACCCTGGGCAAGTCACTTAACCCTGAATGCCTCAGTTTCCTCATCTGTAAAATGATTTAGAGAAAGAAATGGTAGGCCACTCCAGTATCTTTGCCAAGAAAACCCCAAATGAAGTCACAAAGAGTTGATGAGACAGAAAGACTGAACAACAACTAAAGAGTGTGTGTGTGTGTGTGTGTGTGTGTGTGTGTGCGTGTGCGTGTGCACAAGCTGAAAGGAGTCTGTTGTAAGTGTCCAGGCACATATGCATCACACCACTGAAAAGACCACATGACACAGTAGAAATAATATTACCTCTAGAGTCAGAAAACCTGGGTTCCCACCTCATCTGTAGTACTTCCTAGCTGTGTTGTCTCATTTCTTTTAAAAGTGAAAATCTCTAAAGAGTCTACAAAAAAGGAAAGGCTTGCTAATTGGGGTGTGAAAAGTGTGAAAATAACATGTCACTTGCTTGAAGAATCTAATGACTCTTGTTTAGAAAGGGAATTGAATCCAGCAACCCCACTAGTAGGCACTGCCAGTGGAAATTCCCACTTTAATGGGATATTACCAAAGCCTGAAAAACTCACACCTGTAACAAATGTCTGTAGAATAACTACTACTCAAGTGAATCACAACAACGCTGCCCAGGTCTCCATTTTAAAGAGTCAGCTCCACAGCCTTCCTCTCTACTGTAATAAATCTCACCCCCTCAGTCAGTTGAAACATGTTTACTTTTTAAAAATGTTTAAAATACTCACTTGGTACAAAGTAAGGTATCTGAACTCTCAGTAGTAAATTATCTTAATAAAAAGAAAATATCTCATTCACATGGGCAGGAAAGAAAATCAAGTTAGGGTGACCCAATAGAGCACAGGACCTGGAGCCAAGAAAGTCTGGGTGCAAGTCATGCTCTGGACACTTATTAGATGTATTTTGGCCTTACTAGATGTAAGTCACTTATGCTCTGTCAGCTTCAGTTTCCTCTTCTGTAAAATGGATATTACAATAATAGTGCTTACATCACAAATTTGGTATGAGGATCAAATAAATAAGGTTTACTTTATAGAACCTAAAGAATTATATAAGTGTGAGCTATTTTAAGTATATTTATATAAATGTAATAACTCCCTCTTTTTCCATAGAAAACAGGCGCATTCTGAGTCAATAAAAGGTTGATAAAAAGTTTCCCCATAAAAGGTACAAAATCTTTTCTAAAATATAAGCTTACTCAAAAATATCCCTTCTTGTTAGTGTTCTCTTCTTTAGTTTGGGCGTTCTGATCCCTCTTTCACCTTTGTAAGATTCCCTTGCTTCTTACCATATTAGAAGAGTTCCTTCCATATGTGTTTATGTATATATTTGCAGAGAGAGCTGGGCCAGGAATCAGGGAGACTTGTCTCCATGAGTTTAAATCTGGCCTCAGACACTTACTAGCTGTATGACCCTGGACGAGACACTTAACCCTGTTTGCCTCAGTTTTCTCATCTGTAAAATGAGCTGGAGAAGGAAACGGCAAATCCCTCTTGTATCTTTGCCAAGAAAACTCCAAATGGGGTCATGAAGAATCAGACACAACTGAAAGGGCTCAACAATGACACTATTTATATACACACACATCATACATATACAGATATTTATATTTAATATTTCTGAAGTCGCCTACCCAGCGCATACCAGCCAGCAGCCACAGTACTTTTTTCCTTTAGCAAAATGATGCTTATCTGTTCTTTGAGTCAGAATCACTCTTGTAGGTATTTGCTTGGTAAAGATCAAAAGATCCAGGTTCTGAAGAATACATTGTGTTCTGTGCACTACTGTAATCACATCTCCATGCATCTTATTTTCACATGTTTAAAAAAAATGCTTGAGTAAGTGAGATATGTGGAGAACATTACCTAGAAGGTTGATAAAATGATAGTTAAAAGGAGCATTGCTATTCAGAAACTGTGAGAAACCTAGTCTTGTGGGCTATCAAAATGATCACTAGAAACAGCTGTTCTACACTCTTGGCACTGTGGGGGAATGTGAGTACTGTATTCAGATGACTCAGAAAATATGAAACAGAAAGCACTTCATGTAGACGTGACTCAGCCTCTTGGGGAGTTTGGCTGTTTCAAGCACATCTGGTCATAGCATTTCATGGCTTATTCAGTGGTTATTTTACATTTGGGGGCACCCCACTTCACTTGTATATTTTCTTGGTATCTAGTATGTGAATTTGTTGAGGTACAGCCAGGTTAATATATGTTGCAAACAAGTTACAGAATATCTAAATGACTACTACTTCAGATTTTATTTTGCTACATCTTTCCAAGGTTAGTTGCAAAACTTACAGTCAGATTCTGTATGAAAAGCCTCAATGTTTCTACAGGGAGCGGAAAAGGGTGAAGTGTTACTATGATTTCTTAAAATAAGGTTTGGAATGTCTAGTCTGCAAAGTAATTAAGAAAGCCACAAATTATTGTTGGCAGTGGGGAAATTGCATTTGCAGCTTGTAATTAGCATTGACGATGAATTGAGAAATTTATGAAATTCCATCTCTTCTTCAGAACACAGACCACATTCAATAGCCACTTGTGCTGACTTCTAGAGACCCTGGGATCAGATTTCATATTCTACAGTTATCCTCACTGAACCTCAGAGGCTGAACTAATTACATTCAAATCTAAACTCACAAAGACTGATTACCATATGAGAAATAAATTTGGTCAGCACTGACCTCTCTATTTGACTTTTGCTTTTATTTTTGATATCACTTTTATGATAGAACTAAGGCCTAGAAAAGCTTTATATAGCAATTATTTGGTGCATTTGAGATCTTATCAAAACGGGTACTACCTCCACCAGTGATGGTTGGAACCTACTTGTGTCTTCTCATCAAATACATCTTGTCTATGATCTCTCATCTTTCTTGCATAAATGATGTCCCCAACAAGCCAAGGTGTCTTTCTCCAAATCTTACAACATTTCCATATAGCACTGAAGCTGTCCATGTTATCTCTCCCTTACACTGCATGATGAAACAACCTGCTTTTATGAACACACATTTCTTTTCTGACTTGGTTTCCAACACATCTTACACACAAATCATTTTTGGTAATACACTCTAGCTTACTTACCCCCACCATGTGGTTCTTTGGATTAGCCACTTTTTGGATTCTGTAAAGACCAAAGTTTCATGAGTTGCATTTATGTAGCATTCTGAGTGCTAAATATGTTGATTTTAATTCAGCTATTCAGTGATCAATGATAGTTCAGTGACTTTAATGATTTTTTGAATCATTGAAGGATCTACGCCATTTCTCAAGTGCAACCCAGCCTACTCACTTCTTCCTGAGAAAGGAGCAATGACTTTTTAGTTAATGGATCTTCATTCGTGGCCCCCTTCTGACCCTTACCCTTGTGACCTTGGGCAAGTCACTTGACACCCAGGAAACTTAGTTTTCACATCGAAAATTGTAGGTTTTGGGTTAGGTAGCCTTATAGATCTCTTCTAGCTCTCTTGTTCAAACCTGAAGCTAGCTCATTGTCCCTTGAAACTTTTGCAAGGGTTCTTAACCTGAGGTCTATGAACTTTAAAAAAAATATTTTGATAAATGTCTTTCATTATGATTGGTTTCCTTTGTAATCTTATGTATTTTATTTTATGCATTTAAAAACGTTATTCTGAGAAGGCCATAGTATATTGCCAACAATGACTTGTGTGCAAGATGCTGTGAAATAAGTCAGCGTAGAAAGGTATGATCATAAAAAGAGGAAGGGTTATCATGTAGTATGAGAGACAGATAATGTGGGCTTTTACCAGACTGCCAAAGGGGTCCATGATACACAAAAAGATGACAAATCCCTTATTTAAATTATCTAGCCAAGATACTGATTGACTAACTCAGTGAGCTCCCTATGCAAATGCATGTCATAATGTGGAAAATATACTTCCTTGATTCACTTATTCTTTCCTGAGTGGATTTATAAAGCCATTTGTGTGACCACAAAACTTATTAAAGAGGCCCTATAGAGCTCATAGACTCAAGGTTATCTTTATTACATCAATTCAGGAAGCATTTATTAAGCACCAACTACGTGCCAGGGGCAGCTAGGTGGCGAAGTAGGTAGATTGTTGGGCTTGAAGTCAGGAAGACTCATCTCCACAAGTTCAAATCTAGCCTCAGACACGTAATAGCTGTTGACCCTGGGCAAGTCACTGTTTCAGTTTTCTCATCTGTAAAATGAACTGAAGAAGGAAATGGTAAACCATTCCAGTATCTTTACCAAGAAAACCCCAACTGGAGTCACAGAGACTTGGATAAGACTAACAACATGTGCCAGGCACTGTACTAAACTTTAGGGACACAGAGAAAGGCAGAAAGACAAGACTTTCTCTCCAGAAGCTCACAGTCTAATCAGGAGACAAGAAGAAAGCACCAGATATATACAAGATAAACTGGAGATAATCATAAAAGGAAGGTAGTAGTAGTAGTAGTAGTAAGAAGGAAGGTCTTCTTGAAGAAGGTGGGATATTAGCTGAGATTTGAAGCCAGGAGATGGAGATAAGGAGGCAAAGGGTTCTAGGCTTGGGGGACAGCCAAAGTAAATGCCTGGACCTGAAGGAAGCCAAGAAAGCTGCAGATCATCTATAAACAAGAGTATCTGGCATTCTCAATCTATGAGAAATCTAACTTTCATTTTGACTGTACTCAGAGAATCCTTCATAACCATAGTGAATTCATATAATTCATCCTATGTTTATATTCAGAAAATTGTGGGAAAAAATTATTTCTATATTTTTCTCTTTAAAGATATATTATGTGATCTTAACATATATATGGAAGGTGCCTTGTTGAAAAAGAGCCATTAAAAAGGATACATTTTGTCCTACTGAGTCAAATATCAATAGAAAATAAAATGCATTAGGACTTTTTTCTACTGTGAAGATATAGTGTACTAGAGAAAATCATCCATAAAAGGATGACTGTTCCCTTCTTATATTTTCATCAAGGATATTCTTGATATATGTATAGACTGTTTTCATGAAAGTGTTAGGTTTTGTGGTTTGTTTGGTTTTTTATGTGTTACTGTTTCATTTTAGCTTCATATTAAAACCGTTTCCAGGGGTGGGGAAGTCCTTTATCAGCCTCATGATTCAATCTTCTCTCAGGTAACCACAACGAAGTTCAATTAAGCAAAAAGACCCAATATAGTAGCTCTATCTGACAATGCATACATTTGGTCATAGCCATCCCCAGACCCTCTTCCATGAATGTAGAAATATGATTCCTTGTATGTTCCCTGGACCATCAGTTTTTTCCTAGTTAATTAGAATTTGAGTCTTCTTTTACCTCTTTCCATTCACATAATCACTGTATATATTCTTGTACTCCCACTATTTCAAATCCATTTGAATTCATACAAATCATTCCACGTTTCTCTGAATTCCTCACATTCATCATTTCTTTTTTTTTTTATCAGTCCAAGCTTTATTATGGGGTTATACTTACAGGAGACCCCTCTGTTTAGATCTTGTTACCAACAGCAAGAAGCTGCAGGGCATACTATGGCATTAGTCTATACAGGGGATTTAGTTCTCTTTTTTTGATAATTCATTTATTTTTAGTTTTAAACATTCACTTCCATAAGATTTTGAGTTTTAAATTTCTCCCCTTCACTTATCTTCCCCTGGAAGACGGTGTGCAATCTGATATGAACTCTACATATACTTTCATGTTAAGCATATTTTCCCATTAATCATGATGTAAAGAACAATTACAACTAAGGGGAGGAACTGTGAGAATGAAGCAATAAAACAAATCACCAAAGGGAAGGGAAAGCAAATAGTATGCTTCCATCTGCATTCAAACTCCATATTTCTTTCTCTGGGTGTGGATAGCAATCTCCATCGTGAGTCTTTTGGAGTTGTCTTAGACTCTTGCATTGCTGTGAAAAGCCAAGTCTATCAAAGTCATCATGCCATAATGTGGCTGTTACTGTGTACAATGTTCTCCTGGTTCTGCATCAGTTCATGTAAATCTTTCCAGGTTATTTTGAAGTCTGCCTGCTCGTCCTTTCTTATAGCAAAATATTATTGACATTCATCATTTCTTATCACACAATATTGCATTACATACATATACTGTCCCCCCCCCCAAAATAGCCAGTCTCCATTTGATGGACACCCACTTTATTTCCAGTTCTTTGCTACTTCCAATGAGTGCTACTATGTAGCTCTTTTTGTAGGGAGAAAGAACTAGAAAATAAGGGAGTGTCCCAATACTAAACAAATTATGGTTTGTGGTTGTGATGGAATACAATTTTTCAGCGAGAAATGATGAAATGCAAAAGAAACCTGGGAAGACTTGTAAGAATTGATGGAAAGTGGAGTGAATAGAACCAAGAGAACAATTTGTATAATACCATCAACATTGTAATGATGGACAACCTTGAAAGACTTAAAGACTCTGTTCAATGAAATGAACCAACCATAATTCCAAAGGACTGATGATGAAGAATGCCAGCCACTTCCTGAGAGAAAGTGGTAGAATCAAGATAAGAATGAGACATATATTTTTGGACATGGGCAATGTGGGGCTTTGAGGTTGGGTTGTTTTTGTTTTGGACTACATGTATTTATTACAAGAATTTTATTTTACTTTTCTTTTCTAATGGATGTAGAACAATCTTTAATAAAATATAGCACCCACTTATTTTTAAAATCTAAAAATCATGGTATGGAAAAGACTTTTCTTTAACATGATCAAAAACCAAAAGCTAACAATGTTTGTAATGGGGAAAAACTAATTTATCCAGTATGAATGATGGTAAAGCAAGAATACCCATTATTTGAAATAGTTCTGGAAATACTAGCTATGGCTAGTATAGTATAGTATAGTATAGTATAGTATAGTATAGTATAGTATAGTATAGTATAGTATAATATAGTATATAAGTATAGTATGGTATAGTACTAGTGTAGTATAATAATAATATCACATCATAGTAATATTAGTTAATTATAATTATATAAATTTGCAATTATATATATTAATAAATTAATAATGATATAATAATATATAATAAATATAATAAATAAATAAGCATATTACAGTAATAAGATAACAAAATTAAAGGCATAAATTTTGTCAAAAAGTAGAGGAAAATTATCCTTATTTGCAGATGATATACAGTGTTCTTACAAAACCCGAGAGAATCAAAGAAACTAAGATCATTAGCAGCAAACTGGACCACTTAGCTTAAAATACCTGATAGCTGGCTCCAGACCATGCACCACCTTCCCAGTTTATCTAGGCATTTACTCAGGATATTTTGCCATCTGCCTGCCTACGTATGCAACCTCTGCCCCCCCTACCCATCCTCATTCTGTCAGTCAGGTACTGAAGAGAACCTAAGGCCCTCTGTAGGGAGAAGGAAGTGGTTCCACCCACATAAGAGTGAGAAACACCAAAGAGGAAGTTAATTTTCATCAGTTTACTAACTGTGGTATTCACATACATATGTGTGTGTGTGTGTGCGTGTGTGCATATATATGTATATATATATGCATATATATATACATATATATATGCATATATATATATATATATACACATACACATATTACATATATATGTACCAGAGAAAAATCTTCAACAAATTTAATCACATAAACACAAAAAAGAATATTTTAAAGGTTCTTTGGTTTGGGGAAATCTTTCTCAATTAAAAAGCATGTATTTTCTCTCTCTCTTATCTACCCTTTTCCATTGAGAAAGAAAAATAAAACCCTTATGACAGATATGTATTGTCAAACAAAACAAATTCCCACATTAGCCGTGTCCAGAAATCTGTGTTTTATTGTGTATCTTTCCTCCATCACCTCTGTGTCAGGAGGTGGGTAGTATTTTCCATCAAATAACATGTTCTCTGAAGATTATGAAAGCATAAGCTATATTAAATTGCCTTCTCAATAAAGGTGGCAAGGAAGGAAGGAGAGAAGTTTAAAAAAATGTTAAAAATTGTTTTTACATGTAATTGGGGAAAGATAAAATACTAAATAAAGAAAAAAAACAACCTCTGCACAATAGATAAGGGACTAAGGGGTGGAGAACAATATACACATAACATATACGTATATATTTGCACATATTTGTACATATACGTGTGTGTGTATATATATATATATATATATATATGTATATATATATATATATATATACATACATACACACACACAAAAACCCAGCCCCCAATTCCCACATTATCCATGTCCAAAAATGTATGTCTCAGTCTGCATCTTGCTGCCATCACTTCTCTTTGATATGTATGTCACACACATCAGAGGAGACGATGGGATCTAGATATCATATATACATATATATATGTATATACATACATGCACACACAAATATACACATATGTATATGGGAAGTTAGGTGATGCAGTGGATAGAGTACTAGGCTTGAGCAGAAAGACTCTTCTTCCTGAGTTCAAATCTGGACTCAGACACTTATTAGCTATATGATCTTGAGCAAGTCCCTTCACCCTGTTTGCCTCAGTTTCCTCATCTGTAAATGAGCTAGAGAAGGAAATGGCAAACCACTCCAGTACTTTTGCCAAGAAAATGTCAAACGGGGTCACAGAGTCAGAAATGACTGAAAAATGACTGAACAACAACATGTATACATACATACATATATATATATACGTATATATACATATACGTATATATATATATACACACATACATACAAATATACACACATATATGAAGCACGTACACATATACACATGCTTCTCCCTATAAAGATACTCACTATAAAAAAGAACAAGTCTGCTTTGGACTTGATGTCCATGTCTTTATTATTGAAAACATCTGCATGCAGGCTCTTAACACTGTCAGACCTGTAACACTGTATATATTTTCAACTACGCCCTAAATTTACTATTGCCACACAGACTGGAACTATCTTGGCTTTGGCCAGATCAGTCTGTTAGACGCCAAGTGACAGCTATATATTCATCTGTAGACATTCTCCATAAAAAGTTGGAGCATCCATTGCCATAAGCTGCAATGAAACAACTCAATTAGTTCTGAGTATGCACTATTCCTTCCCCTTTATCACCTTTTTATCCAAGATGGGCCCTACCAGTAGGTGGGATATTCAACTCCCTAAGTGGAAAGAAAATTTGTTTCCATTTCGCTTGTCATTGAGCGGTCCCCCTGGTTGGGCTTCTGATGTAATCTTTAAAAGAAAACAAACAAAACCAGACCTCTTACAACAGGCTTATTTGTAGTAATTTAAACATAGTAATGTATACAATCTGATTTTATTATCAATTTTTTAAAAAAATAAGCTCTTGGGAATGGAAAGTGCAAATGGAGACACATGGGCCACCTCAACTCACTGCTTCTTCTCTTAGATTTGTTGTAAGCCCTGTAATATGCAAATGGTACTTTTTTTTAATTACTACCACTGTTCCAACCTTGTTCTGTTGCCCACCCACCTGGTTATCTCTACACATTCATCAATCATAAGATTCATATACGGACCAAGCTCTTCCCCCTCATGCTCTCTTTGTGGTGGCAAAGAACTGGAAATTTCAGGAACGTCCATCAGTCGGGGAATGGCTGAACAAGCTGTGGTCTATGATTGTGATGGAATACTGCTGTACTATAAGAAACGATCAGTTTAATGATCTTCCTCTTGGACATGCCTCCCACCATCACTCCATTGCTTCTGTCCAACAAAAGTTAACACTTTTAATACTCTTTTCTCAGATATATAGTTTTTTCCCCCATAATATGGTATAATAAAAAAGAAGATTATACATGAAACTGCAAGTCTACTGTGTATAACTTGCTATTCCTTTTAAATATACAACAAAGTTATCATACAAATTTCTTTTTTTACCCTTTTTTTCTTCCCTCCCCCTCCTCCACGCTAGAGACGGCCACCATTAGACACAAATATGTATATGTATGTAAAATTATTTTATACATACTTCTATTTATCAGTTCTTTCTCTGGATGCAGATAGTGTCTTTCTTCATATGCCCTTTATAGTTAATTTGGGTATTTACACAACAGTCAAAATGACTTATTCACTCAGTCATTTTTAAAACAATATTGCTGTTACCGTATACAACGTTCTCTTGGTTCTGTTCATTTCGCTCTTCATTTTCATGCAAGATTTCTATGTTTTTCTAAGATCATCAAGCCCATCATTTCTTATAGCACAATACCATTCCATCACAATCATAGACCACAGCTTGTTCAGCCATTCCCCGACTGATGGACGTTCCTGAAATTTCCAGTTCTTTGCCACCAGAAAGAGAGCTGCTATAAAAATTTTAGAGCATATACGATCTTTCCTACGTCCAAAGACGTATTAAATTGCCTATACCTTTTGACCCAGCAATACCATTACTAGGTCTTTTTCTCAGATATATAGTCTCTTAGGTACATGAACTTTGCTCATTGGGTGCTGCCTTTTCACCTCCTTCCTGTACAAGCCCGTGTAAAGCCATGGTTTTATTCAAGTTCCTGTAATATAATTTTGTAGTATACTCCAGGAGCAAAGTCTTCCCTGGCAGTTGCCTCACTAGCCATCTGCAGCTGAGAATGATGATCTCAGGCACCGTCGCATCTCAGTAGGACTCCACTGTTCCCATAGTCTGCCTGGTCATTACCAGGTGTGGCTCTGTTGACTTACTCCTAGCTTCCAGATTTATCTGGAGTCCTCAGTTGAACTACTGACTTTTCCTAATAGATTTTACCCCTCCCCCCCCATCCCCACCTCATTCTCCTAGCTTAAAGTTCACACATTTTCAAACTACAATTCTTTTAGAAAATGGCAAAAATCCTAACACTTCCAGAAAATTGATTATGGGAGGAGGAAGAGAAGAGGAATCCTTACTTTCTTTTTTTTTTCTAGTGGGATCTGGTGGGATTTCTTTCAAAACAGTGGCTAAAAAGGGGTCCAATCTCCTAAAGAGCCCTTAGTCTTCATTCTAATTTTTGGATTCTATTTCCTGGCCCTTGGGACTTTGAGGAAATTTATTTAACTCCTAAATCAAGATTCAGCGTGGTGCAGTGGAAAGGACATTGCCCCTGGAGTCAGAGGAGCTGGATTCAAACTCTCTTTTGACACTTAAACCTGTGTGTATGTGGGGCAGTGGAGTAGTGAAGTGGATAGTGCTTATCGGGCCTGGAATCAGGGAGATCTTAGTTCAAATCCAGCCTCAGACACTTACTAGTTGTGTGACCTGGGCAAGTCACTTAACCCTGTTTGCCTCAGTGTCCTCATCTGTAAAAAAGAAAATCCCCAAATAGAGTCAGAGTCTGACATAGCTGTCATGACTGAACAACAACAACCTGTGTGTACGAGCTTTGAGCAACTCACAAATTCTCTAGATCTGGTTCCTCATCTAGAAAATGAGGGTATTGGGGGCAGCTAGGTGGTGCAGTAGATAGGGCTCTGGCCTTGGAGTCAGGAGGACTTGAGTTCAAATCCAACTTCTGGCACTAGCTGTGTGACCCTGGGCAAGTCACTTTTAACCCTGATTGCCTCACCAAAAGGAAAAAAAGAAAGAAAGAAAGAAAGAAAGAAAGAAAGAAAGAAAGAAAGAAAGAAAGAAAGAAAGAAAGAAAGAAAGAAAGAAAGAAAGAAAGAAAGAAAGAAAGAAAGAAAGAAAGAAAGAAAGAAAATGAGGGGGTTGGACTGCATGACCTCTGAGGTCCTTTCCACATCATTTCAGAAGCTCTGCCACAGAAACCCTCTAGAGCTTAGTGTGCTTCTTATGGTTTCTATGAGACTTGAAACTTCATCATGTAAATGAATCTAAACTAAAACAAAAACTAAGTCCTCAGGGGAGGGGCAGGGTCTTTATTTATCTTCTACTCTGTCGGGTTCTTGGCCTTTCACTTAAATTTGTACCAGTAAAGCCTTTAAGCCCACACTACACTAATCTGATATATTTCACAATTTTGCACAGGGATATACCCACCTCCTTCTTAGTCTTTTCTTTCTGGGGGAAGATGGTGGGGGGAAGAGAAAGAGGATTCTGAAAGTATAATTGAAAAAGCATGGTCATTTCTAGCAGATTGTTAATCTCCTCTTTTCCTGCACCCAAAACAAAACTAGAGTGAGTGTATGAGTGTGTGCATGTTTGTGTATATGAAAAGGCTGTCACATCCATTTCCATATTCTACCAGGGTTAGTTTTTCTTTCTTCTTTCCCCTTTAATTATTCGCTTGGGGCACTTGGTGTCAGTTCTATAACAGCTTTTTGGGAATCTTCAGCATTAGAGAAAATATTTTTCCATTTGCTGATTTTCCTCTTCACCAGGAGAGTGTTAAAGG